CACCCCGGGTCGAGATTGAGCGAGGCTTCGCGTGTTGGCACGGTCTTAAAAGTTTCAGCGATGGGTTGGGCACTAGGTCACTCCCTGGGCCACACCGGCAACCTACCCCAGGGTGGCCGTAACGTCCTTCGATGCGGTCGTATCTCACCTTCTCGCTAATACTTACACCAGAAGCCCTCGCACACTACTGCAAAGTTCCGCCACATACACGTGTAGGTGGCACCGCGGCGGCGAGGAATCCCTGAATTTGCCGGAATATTTTCTAAGTTATCCACCTCCACCCTGGGATGCCGCAGCTGTGGTCGAAGGTTGCATAGGTTGTGGGTGGAGGCCCCCTTTTATCACCCCCAAAGTCTCGTTGTTATGTCGTATGTTTTATTTTTAAGGGTCCCACCGTTTAAGGGGTAAACGCGTCGCATCCACCTGGGATTTCATACCTCGAACCTGCAGATCAATGTACTCCTGCGCTCGATTTACCTGCAATTGCGGGTACAGTTACCGCACCGAGATGTTGCATCCGTAGTTGAAGGTTCCGACGATGGAACTGCACCAATGCACCCCTTTATCGCCGCAGTGTTCTAACTATGCAGTCGTGTTTCATCTTTCTTATCCGAGGTTCCCACTATTTAAGGGGTAAACGCGTCGCATCCACCTGGGGTTTCATCCCAGGAACCTGAAAGTTAATGCATCCCTGCGCCCATTTATCCTGCAGGTGAGGTTACCTCAACCGAGGCACCGGTACCTCCCTCTGGTTCCCTGCATCCAGGATCCCTCTCATAAGGTGGGAATCCTCTGGAATCCCTTATTTCGTAAATTCTCCTTCCTCTTCCGCCGTTCACGGTTCTCGGGCAACCTTAATCCGAGATTCGAATTAGATGAACTTTCGGCAGCGGTCCTCGCAGCGCCGCCGGGTTAAATTCGGTCTCGGGACCTTGAACTACTTGCACTTCCTACGTGTATACGTACGTACCTGTGTTTTTCCTCCCTAAACCACCACACGTGCTCGCAATACCTAAGAGAGGTCTCCGCATCCAGTGGCTCTCATCGGGAACTCGATGAGAGGTGTGGAAACCCCGAGGAAGGCCCCGGAGGGACGTTCGGAAAATTCGAGCCGGGCCTTCGATTTCGAAATTCCTGGTCTCTTCCGGCGAACTCTCGACCCGGATGTACAGGTGAGGGCTATCCTCGTATCCCGTGGGAACCTCCCCAGGTCTCTGGGAGCCCTTGGTCCTCGGGTTCCGGGCACTACGACGAATTAAAATTCTACTCACGGAGCCGCCTTCTGCCGGCGAGTTGACCCACTTGGACCAGTCCTGAAACGACCTGTAGTACGTGATTTCTGCCCTCAGGAAATTTCCTGGTGTTTACGAATTGAGCCGCTTGCTCCTGAGAATGCCGGGGACTTTTAATTACCTCCGATGCTTGGGGGGAAAAAAAAAAAATCTAAATCTTTCGGAAGCTGGTGAAATCGGAAAAATTCCTGGGAACGTGGTGGGACCTCTCGTGGAAATTTGGGAAAAATTAATGGCCCTCCTGTTTATCACAACTAAGGCTCCACTGATTCAAATATATCTTCATATCTATGAAATTTAGTCCTTTTTAACAATTTTAACGTACGATCAGTTTTTCATGATGTGGATTGAATTCTCTTAAAAAAACTTGTCTTCCGGCTGATATCGTCCCGCAACTCCAAAATGTCAAGGTTCCAACCAAGGATTCTCGCTAGCACATGTGGGATTAGGTTTTTTTTTTAATTAAAACATACTTTATATTCTAATATCAAGACGACGTACTTTCGCCTCCGCTTCAGTCGGAGGCGGTTTATGAAGTCATCGCGATCCTTAGGAGAGATTTCGACGTCACTATTTAACGTAACGAGGTGTCCGATCTCGGAGAAAAAAAAAATGCTCCTCCCTGTAAGACTCTGCCTCGTCTCTAATAAAAAGCCATAACTGGTACGGCGTTTAGCTTTGCGTAAACATTGACCGATTTAACGCGGCGCCTTTCGGTGATGTAACGTCGTTAAGGAGTCTCAGTATATGCGCGGTCGTTCCCGTTCCCCGCTTTCGAATTACATAATTATTTTAAATTGACCGGTGCCGTCGGCACCTCCACGTCGAACTTCATTTGGAAATTCTCTTGTCAAATTCACTTGAGAATTAGTGAAGACGATTTCCTTCCTTGGGAGTCAATTGTCTTTCATTTCATGTGATAAAGACAATGCGAGACGGTAACAAGTGACGTTCGCCATTTTAAGACTATATGAAAGAGTTAGCCTATATATATTTATCTGAGTGGTCAAATCGTTGAGGAAAGTATTCTTCGAATTGGGTGTACCGATTTGTTTAAAACTTTATCACGCGAACATGGACGCCCTGAGGTAGGTCCTGAAACTCATGAAATTCATTTTTCATTAAAAACTTATTTATTTATCATTGGCTAGAACGAACATGCCGTGGTCCGTGCACGTTTTCGATGTTTTACCCTTCTTGGAGGCTTGGAATCGAAAATGAAGAGTTTCAGGACGTCGATCTCTTTGTCATTTACCGAAATGAGATATGGAACGCTTAGTTTCATATAATTCCCAACTAGGACTGTAAAAGACTTGATCGTAAATATAAATGTCGGTAACATGACGCGTCAGCTTATGTTACCACTTAAGTATTCAGAATGGCATCACCATGAAAAAGGGTGCGGATGAATTTTAATTTACCTACGTCGATTAAATTTCTCAGCGCCTTTCATATCATCTTAATTGGCCGTATTCGTTGATTGCCAATTATTTCCAGTGACTTCTGTTTTGGATTTACAGCTGACTTCCATATGACTTCGAGCATTAAGATCCACGATTTCCGGAGTGATTACCCCCTCGCTCCACGTTTTACCACGTCCTGGGTCAATCCCGACCGCCTGTAATGTATTGCGGATTTTTCTATGCCAATTTTCGGGATTTTCGTTGGCCAATTAATCTCGGTCCCGAGGGACGCGCGTGGTTTCGGAATTGATATCTCTTCGGGGATAAGCTGACTGCCGTGTCAAAAGGTCGGCGGATAAATCTCGAAATGGATGCAGGGTTTGTTGGCCGGCGTCCAATTTCGAAAGACGTCACGAAAGTTCGATCGCGACGGCATCGGGCCTCGGTGGTTCCTGAAAATGACTCGATTCTCCCCGAGCGACGTGTGGCCCCCCTCGGGAGACGAAACTTTTCCCCGGAAAAATATGAAGGGCGCCATTTTTCCAGGGAATTAATTTCCAAATGAACATTCAGGACGAACGCTTTCGGCGGGCTGGAATATTCTTCTCGGTTTTGTAACGTGTACCAGGTTTTAACGCGATAGCGCATTACTGCCGGAAATGATACACATTTGTCTAATTTAATTTAATGATTATTTCTTGAGATTTCTTTCACCTTTCGATAGACACCGCAAGGATCATTAATGACAACTATTCGCAGCGTTGAATCTCGCGCGCACTTACAGATTCTTTTATTTATATGTTGTTATTAAAACACTATTAGAGTAATGGTTAATACTAGTTATTTACTTGTGTCTGTTTTCTAAGTGAAAGTGAATTTTACTTGCCAATAAATTGAGAGATATCAAATTAAATAAAAACAATTGCAACTGCGAGGGCTTCTTTTTCTGCTAAAAAGGGGGAGAACGATTCGAGAATTTATGGAGGAAGTAGTTACGCGCAAAGTTGGAAGTTTTACAGGCGATAGGAGGGAAGTTAACGTTAATGCATTTCCTGTTTAATATAGGGTTTTGTTTTATCCATCTCTATCGGCAGAAATCCGAGAAAATTACAGAGGGGACCTCTCCGATCTTTCGTCTTCTTCGTTCTCGATGAAAAATGCCGGCAACCTCGGAGAGGGAGAGAGGGAGAGAGAGCGAGGAATTGTTTGGCCGACTTCCGGCCTTTTATTTTGCCCCCGAGTCGTTCCAACTTTATTCCCCGGAAAGTATACAACGAACCGTTGCACAAACGATTCGCCCCCCCCCCCCCAAATCCCCCGCGAAGAAACAATCGAATTACCGCACCGGGACTCGACAAATTCGAAACTCCTTTTTTTTTCCCCCGATGCTATTCGACTTTGTTGCATTTCCATTAAAACTCGAGGAGCCGGCCAATTCCGGATTAGTTATGCATTTTGTGTCGCTTTTTTCATTTCTCTTGATACTCGTTTTTCATTAAAACTGACGTCAGCGTCAGATTAGATTTTTCCATTCACTCTGTTTTCTTTTCTTTATATACAATAATTAGGCAGAAGACAAAGTTCACTTCTCTTTTGTCAATTCTTTGAAATGTTTCGAGCGAAATTTTCGCCAGATTATTGGACTACTAAATAATAAAAAAAAAGGGGGTATAGTCCCGGACCTGTGAAGTGCACTTTGATGTCCGTGGTCAGCTGTCGGTCAGTCTCGATTAATTTTTCATCGCGACACATCGAAGGGCATTCCTGATCGATCCCGGGGGAGAAAGCAGGAAAAGGAAATAATCAAGTGGGCGAACTTTTCCCCCAGGAAAATTTCGATAGAGCGAAAATTAAAATTGATTTTACAATTGTATGCAGATAACGACACTGAGGAAGAAAAAAATGTCACTGAACCAAAGAAATATATCATCGAGTAGTACCAAAGGAATATTTTGTTAATTCAAAGGATAATTATTTCACTCGAATAAAATCGAATAAATTGAATGCAACATTCATTCGGAATTATGACAATTTATTAGAGCCCAGTACTTATTCTTGGAAATATTTCTTTGGTTCAGTGACATTTCTCTTTCTCGGTAGAGCGATCGTAACATTTGGAAATATCCTTTTAATAATGATCACCACAAAATCACCGTCGATATGAAAAAAAAAAAATTTACGCTAAATACATCCTATTGGAAAAGTCTAGTTTGTAAAGTTATATCCATATAGTGGCGATTAATCGCCCAAATACAATGATTCAGTTGTCTCCTTTTAGTAACGATTGTGACGCGTGTGATTTCAGAGATTCGAAGCGCAGCAATGTCGTGCCGATCTCCGTGAGCGTCTCTCGGTGAGGCCCGAAAATCCCGCCCGAGGGGAGCGAGAGGGAGAGGGCGATACGCGCGGCCGGCGGGTAGGAGAGAGATGGCGAGCGCGGCGAGCGGCCACAAGAGGAACGGCTCGAGCTCGAGCATGTTCGCCCACAAAAGGACGGAGTCCGGGGGCGGCTTCATCGGTCACAAGCGCTCCGAGAGCGGTCATAAACGCACCGAGAGCATATCCAGTGCCTTCGGCCACAAGCGATCGGAGAGTGGCCACAAAAGGAACGAGAGCGGCGGAGGTTTCGGCCACAAAAGGTGCGACGCCCGCGTCCTGGCCGCCATCTTTCTTCCTCGCGAGGAAACAAGATGGCGGCGTCACTTTTCGAAATCCACACCTCGCGCCTTCCCCGGGACCGTTTTCGTCGCTCGATTGGGCAACTCGGCGATGGTCGCACTCGAATTACTCCTGCCCAGAGTACGAACGCGCTGTTACAGTTACTTATCCGTTATGCGCCTAGTATCTCGTGTATTTATCTCTGAATTACGCCGGCAACGACGCGCTCACGAGCGAGGCGCAGAAGCTGATGGATGTCATCGGGACATAAATGCAGTCACTGACTGTATCATTACTCCGATGCGACTTGAGGATAACCTCTTATCGCTCTTCTTCCTTCTTTCTACCGTTTCGCGCGAAATGTCAATGCTAAAGATCTCTTAATTCCCGGGAAAACTCGAATCGGTACGCCTTATGTCGGAAGAAACAAGATGGCGACCGGGAATTTAATTGACGGATAGTTTTGGCTGATTCTAGCGCTATGAGGATGAATGTAGGATGTTCAATGTAGGATTTCTTGAGGCGTAAGTGACTCAGTTTCTCAGTTAGTTTCAACCATAACTGATAAGGAAGTTTGTCCGCATCCGGAGCTCTCGAGGAGGGCGACTCCGACGCAGGACGTTTCGTTGCGGCAAATGTTGAAAGCGTCATACTTCGCACGTTTCAGGTCGGAATCCGGCAGCAATTATCATGCAGGCCATCGACGAAACGAGAGCATGTATGCTATGACGGGACTTTATGCGGAAAGCGCGAGTACCGATGCCGGGGAAAATGCGGAGCCGACCCAAGCCGACAGCAATAGACTGACTCATGACACCGTGATTAGGTGCCACAGTAGAAACCCCAGCTCCGGCCTCGTGGATCACAGGTGAGATTTCGCGGATTTCACATCTAGCATCTTTCTCTCGATATTTTTATTCGAACATTCTCGGCGCCACGCGAGCAAACTCGTAGATACGGAAATCCGTTACCGGCGTTCAGCAGGATTACATGCGCTTTGCCTTAATGCTCGTTCCCTGCAATTTTCAGAGATTTTATCATCAAATGTCACAGCAGAAATCCCAGTGCTTCCATGGTGGACAGGTAAACATTGAAATCATTCCTCACGTTAAGCGTTCAAAGGGTTCGACCGAGTGCGTGCGCTTTGCTCCGCTTAACCGTGGTATTCGTTTGTAGAAAATGAGAAGGAAAATAATTAGGAGGTCTTTTCGAGGAACTCTAGTACATGGGAATACTTTTCTACGTTTCAGGGCCGAAAAGGAGAGACCGCATACGCCGCCGATCAAGCCGGACTCGAAGGATTGCGGGATTTTGACTTGCAGGCCGGACTTCATCCAAAAATTCGCAGGAATAAAGGTGCGTCGCGGGTTTCAACGCGGACGCTTTCTGCGGGTCTTAGACCGATGATAGATGCATTCCCGTTCGCACCTCCACGGCTGTAAACTTGTCATCTGGACGTACTTCTCCATCGGATTACCGATTTGCATGAGCAAATATTATTCTCGACAGACTGTATCTGTCTTTACTCCGGTGTATACACGATTAACGCCGACGATGACGCATGAAAGTAATACTAATACCTAGTGCCGCATAGGCGTGCACCGATATGTTCGCAGAAAGTAGAAATCGATAAGCGTACAAGCTCTGGCTCAATTAACTGTGAAACGTGGGTGTTTCCACGTTTTCTAGAGAATGTTACCCGAGTAGACGCTCAGGCGTTTCGCAAGCGAGATTAAACATTAGCATTAGATAAAAGAAGTACCTGTTCTGAGAGGATAATCTCTCTTAATGGGAGTTCTGTCTCGCACCTTTTAGTAGTACTCTAATTTAATCGACATATGCCTTCGATTTCAGGTGTTCGTGTTCCTACTCTCGTTCCTCGTCACGCTGCAGCAGGCACTCAGCTCAGGTTATATCAATTCTGTGATCACGACTATAGAGAAGAGGTTCGAGATCCCTTCCAGCCTCTCGGGCCTCATCGCAAGCTCCTACGAAATCGGCAATGTCATCACTGTCATATTTGTCAGCTATCTTGGCAGCCGGAGGCACATCCCTGTCTGGATTGCCATAGGTGTGTAGTTTGTACAGTTCTTGTGGAATTTAATCAATAAACAGGGTGCCTGTACTTGAAGAAATTCGCACGATCGAGGTGTTGACGACTAAAGTAAGACCTAGATACGAAGAGGGCAAGAAAACGCACAGCATGTACGCTAATTACGGAGGCAATAAGTCCAGGTGTGATTTGTGATGGAAATGTTAATACTCTCTTGTCTTTACGACAGCTTAAACGAGCGCTACAAATGAGACTTATCCGGGCGACCCTGCCATTCGTTATTAAGGAATCGTTGCGAGCAGGGTAATATTTCTTTGGAAAATTAGTTAATTATCCTTCTGCTAGATTAGCGAGGTAGACCTTACTTTAGATGGGAATAAATGTTGTCGCTAAGGTGTCTTAGCAATGCTATCGCTAGAGTATTCCTTATTGTATATGATCTGGAATTACATTTTTGATCCCTGAAATCGTTGTCGGGCTCTGACCTGAGAAATAGCAAAAGTGGTAAACGCTAGGCAATTGTCTATAAGCATCCCTGTATTGTTGGAATCGTATGTCTATGGTAATTGTTAGTGGATCATTCGATATCTGAATGAACGGATACGTTTATGTTTCTGACAATGGAGAACGTTCCTTTCTTTCCTAAATACCGACTCGCGTACTTTGATAAATGATAAGTAGGGCGATGAAAGAAATCGTTTGTTTCAACCGATGGGATGACACTATTTAGCTGTTATTATCGCGGATGCGCTAATCTATGAAGGCCGCTTTTCAAGGTGTGGGTAGGAAAAAAATAAAATATATCGAGTATAGATCATCACGTATGGGATTCATTGTTAGATCGTGTTTCTAGCTCATGTACATTGTACGCTTCACATTCTTCCATTCCAATATTTCAATAGAATGTCGTAGACTCAGCGAGAAACGATGAAATGTGATCGACCGCAAGTACTTTTTGAATCTGCTATTTTTGTGATCCACTTATAATTGGGTAATGATTTTTTTTTTCAGGTGCTGTGATAATGGGTATAGGTTCAATGATTTTTATGGTGCCACACTTCACCGCCGAGCCGAATTTGACAACTTCTGCCAATAATTCCAGCTCGGACAATATATGCCGTGGTATTTCCTTGCGCGAACAAGATATGGGACTGGGTATAGTAACGTTTTCAGACGATACATGTATTTTACACTGCTGAAACTTGTATTAAAAGTAATATCTAAATGTACTTTTTTCAGGTCGCCTATCAACCGGGCTCTCGTCGCCTCCATTAGCACCTCACAATAATCTGAGGGTTGATAACTGTATTCAAGGATCACCTTCAACGGCTGGACCGGTGCTGTTGTTCGTAATCGCTCAGCTTTTGCTGGGCTGTGGGGGTTCACCTTTGTTCACCTTAGGTACTACTTACATTGACGACCACGTGAGACCTGAGAGCGCGTCATTGTATATCGGTAAGAAAATAATAAGTCATGCAATTACTTCCTGTACGAAAAAAAATTGATGTTTCTCATTCGTTGTTCACGTTATTTTCAGGATGTATGTACAGCATGGCAGCGTTTGGACCGGTCTTGGGTTTCCTGCTTGGAGCATATCTTTTGTCATTTCACATGGATTCATTTTCGGGCACGATCATCAGCATCGGTAAATTTGTAGACATACGTGTTTCGGAGTTAACTGCTCGATCGAAAAATACAATAACACTTCGTCTTCTTGCACAGATCCAGGAGACCACAGATGGGTAGGAATGTGGTGGGGAGGTTTCTTGCTCTGCGGACTTCTGCTAATTCTAGTAGCAATCCCGTTCTTCAGCTTCCCAAAAACGCTACAGCGGGAGAAGGAGAAAATCCGGATAATTGAAAAGAGCAAGGCAATATCTGGGAAAGAGAAGGACCAGAATAAGGAGCCGAAGAAGGAACCACTGGATGATACCGGATACGGGAAAGATGTGAAAGGTGAGTGTCAGATTTGTAATATTTATTCGAATATAAAGTAGAACAGCTTTTTATAGCTTGTGTCATCATTTCAGATATTCCACGCAGCATGTGGAGGCTCGTATGTAATCCCGTCTACGTAGTCACGTGCCTCGGTGCTTGTATGGAGCTTGTGATCGTATCCGGCTTCGTGGTCTTTCTACCAAAATATCTGGAAACCCAGTTTAGCCTGGGCAAGAGTCAGGCGAGCATATTCACAGGATCCATTGCCATTCCTGGGGCGTGTATAGGGATTTTCTTCGGGGGTTGCCTGTTAAAACGCCTCGAATTGAGACCGAAGGGTGCTGTACAATTCGTCCTGGTATCCAACGTTGTCTGCCTGGTTTGCTACGGCCTACTATTTTTCCTGGGCTGCGACAACGTTAAAATGGCTGGCACTACTATTCCGTACTTCAATAGCACGACCAAGGCACCGGAGCCTTTTCAAGTCAATCTTACAGCTGCCTGCAATTTCGGTTGCGAGTGTCGGATGAACGACGTCGAGCCTGTTTGCGGCAACAATGGACTTACATACTTCAGTCCTTGCCATGCAGGATGCACAGCATTCAGCTCCAAGTCTAACTTCACCAACTGCGCCTGTGAGTAATATAATAGATTATTTGATATGTGATAATCTAAATCATTGAATACATACGGTATGAATAATCGGAACTAATGTTAATATTTTCGGCAACAGGTATACACGGAAATTTGACGATGCTACCACCAGCCACGCCAGAGTTTGCAGAAGTGACGGTAGTTCCTGTAGCCACGGCAGGCCCCTGCATATCCCCCTGCAAAACGATATTTCCATTTCTCATATTATTATTCTTCATGACTTTCATCGTCGCCGTCACGCAGATGCCTCTGCTGATGATAGTCTTGAGGTGAGTCGTACAAAATGTCTGACATTACAGTCGATAGAGAGATAAGGCACACTTTACCTAATATTTAAAATATTCCGCAGGTCGGTTTCGGAGGAGGAGAGATCTTTCGCCCTCGGCATGCAATTCGTGATTTTTAGATTATTCGGATACATACCTGCGCCCATTCTTTTTGGTAACCTGATCGATTCCACTTGTCTGCTGTGGAAGAGCACCTGTGGGGAAAAGGGCGGTCGTTGTTTGCTCTATGACATAGAGCAGTTCAGATACCGGTATGCGGTTACTTAAAGAGCAGGGGTTAATGTTCATTATTTAAGTCCTTTAAATCGTGAAATGGGGACTATAATTATCTCCTCCTTCTCTCAGGTACGTGGGCCTCTGCGCCGGTATCAAGATCCTAGCACTGGCACTATTCTTGGTGGACTGGTGGTTGGTGAGGAGACGAAGACAGTTGGAAGATCAGCGGCCGTCCTTGACGGTGAACGAGCTCGTGGGATCCATCATTAGTCTTGACAAGCGTATGTTCGAGCCCTTTCTTTAGTTCCTTAAGATCACGGGTCAGGTCATTTATCACGAGCTTATTTTTCACAGTCTTTGAGGAGAAGCCGCATCATCAGAACCTAGGCGAAGGTGACAACGCGACATCTCCGAGCACCGAGACGCCAACTCCGTCCTCCGTCTCGTCACCTACGGAGCCTACCAAGTCCACGAACCTCGAGGAGACCACCGAATCGTCGAATCACACCAACTCGAGCACCGAAAACTCCGTGTATCGTTCCAAGGACACCATGGAAGTCCCCGACACGAGGCAAGGGTCCATCGCGCAGGACGAGTCCGACGTCGAGTTTAGGCCCCTTACCGGTAACGCCGGAAATTGCGATCGGACCGTTTAATGATCGCTTCGACCTAAAGACGCAATAAGTATATCGAAGGGACGCAGATCTCGGATTTGTGGTAAATTGTTCTTTTTTTCTCCGTGGTTCTTTTCACTCGTGAGAATTTACATGCCACGAGAGCTGTATCACTTCATCGACATGACCACGAACGCCTACGGGAAGAGCACGTGTCGTAATGTGTGACTGCTAGAGCATGTGTGTATCCTTTACCATTAACCGTTTAGTTGTAACGCTCTTGGACTACTTTCTAATTAATCAGTTCATCCATTGATCGGTAAGCCCTGATAAGTCCTCGCAGGGATCTTTCCGAAACTCACGGAAATCTCAATCTCGCCTCGCAACGCTCTGTTAGGATCTCGATCATTTGTACAGAAAATTCGCGACAGGTGTGCCGGCAAAGTATACATTATTTTTCAGCGAGTATGCATGTGTGCTTGCAATTTACGTGTGTACCGTGTACACGGATATGCGTCCTCGGTTCCGCGACGTCGATAATGCTCGCTTGACGTTTATATTAATTTTGTCGGAAATTTTAATGCGGACTACCTAATAATCCTAAGGTTTCAATATCACTAGGGAGTAATTGTCTTTCGCGCGAGGCACGAATGCTAAATTAGGCTGCAATATCGACGAGAATTTGGATAGTATGAGTGTCGTTCGGGTTAAATTTAATTACACGGTTTAGGCTCTGGACTGAGTTTGGAAACTGTTTTAATGGTTCATGGGGATTCGGAGCAGCTTCTGACGTGACGGATCACTCGAAACATGCGAGCCTTTTAGGTGTTTCACTTATATTCGGGAATTAAGGTATGTGGAATTCGGGAGGAAAGTGATTTCGATAGGGTGTAACGATATATAAAGGGACGAAATTGTAAATATAAAAATTCCTGCCTTAACATAATCTAAGACTTAGGTAAATTGAGCGTTTAATTAGTAGCTAGCTAAGGATATAAAGAACTATAGTAGGGAATTTAATGATATACGAAAATGGAAAGTCGTTAAACCGTAGATTAATTAAGCGGCGATTTATTTTCTAAGCGAGGGTCTCGTAGGTCTCGTGCAACTCAGTCAATATATTGTAGTGAATAGTGCTATAAAGGCCACGAGGAAATCATAGTTGAGCTAATTTAATGGCTATACGATTACCTACTTTATTTCAGTCGTTTTATTCACGATCCTGGAGAGCGATTACATTTTGGCCCTTGTTATTAGAATAATGGTTAAGGGACTCTTTAAATCTCGGTTACGTGGATTTTATAGTTGCACAAGCGGTGGCACAATCCTCACTGTATGATTACATTTTGTCCCTGTCAAATCACTGGCAGAGATTCAAAGATGTGCCTACTTAATGATACGACGACGCAGACATTTAATCGCTTACAAAAAAAAGACGTTTCTGCGTTATTACAAGAGAAACTATATAAAATATCAGAAACAATAGCTTTGTTTCCAAAGAAAACGATCTTGACGTGCACTCTCTTCTTAAATGGTCCCACAAACAATACTGATGTCTTTCTAAAGGTACTCTCTTTCCGATATAACTAATCTCTAAATTTCTTTCTCTTGTAATAAGGAAGAATGCAATATACCTTTTTTTGTCAAACGCATTATTTTTTGCAATCGTCTATCGGCGAACGACATAGTCACGGCCTCAGCCATTAGTAATCTCACACTTGGGCCTAAAATCGCGAATCCAGGAAGTATTTTAATTAATATTCTCAGGAGAAGTTCCGTCTTGTCGCATATAAGTCTCGGCTTCTTTGCTTTCAAGACACGACAGAAAATCGTTTCGAAGATGACGGGGAGTGTCGGCGATAGCGGAAATTAATTTAATAACTAATTGCCTGTCGGACTGAATCTTTCAAGCTATTCCTTCTTTTGCATGGCGTCAGAATCTGTCGGTGATTCTTCGCGCATTCAATTTCCTAAGCGACTTAGACAATTGAGGGAGAAAAGCATGTAAGGTCGGGTATAGGTGAAAAGTTAGAAAACGAGTTAATTAATTAAGCAATCTTGTCAATTCGTTACTTTATCGTACGCATCTCCGGGCGTTCTCGAGGGCGCAACGCCATTCAGCCGGTAATTATTTTACGAAGTCATTGGAACTTTACGGAAAAGGGTACAAATGGGAAAAATGTCGGTCGAAGACCCAGCCAGTTGACGAATCTCGCTGACGAGGACACGGCGTTAATGGAGCATGTTGGCGCGTTAGAGTTGCGGGCAAATCTCATGCGGCGGACATGTTACTTACACCTCGTACGTATTAAAAGGAAAAAGAAAAAAAGAAATTCGGCGAAAAGGACTCGCAAGAGTCGCACCTCGGTCTCTTGAAACCGTCAATTCTTTCTGCACATACGTACGTCGAATGCTCAAATGTTCGCGACGACCTCGACCGTCAAGAAATTTGTCGAACGACATTTCCGAAATGCTCGAGCTCGGGGTAACGCTGTTAGTGAAGTAGAAAAAGTAATATGAGTGCTGTGAACTAGAACGAAGCGTCGTGGAATCAAAGGTAAATTGAAGATAACAGAGAGAGGATATTTGATAAGGGATGCTCTCGGTTGTCGTGTTATTCCGAGGCGCAACGCGCATGTACATAATAATAGTTATTTTAATCGTAGTAACTCGTACTGAGAGGGAGGGAGAGGAGGAACGAGGGTCGGTGAATTATGCGATGTTTTATAGAGGAAGAGGGAGAGAGAAAGGCGCGTCAATGTCGTGGTAATATTTTTTACGCATTTTGAGAAGGGTCCTTGCACCCTGTTAAATGGAACTATCGATTTAGAATGGCGGCGGTCTGATTGTTTTAATCTTAATCGCACGGTTGCATAATTGAGAGGATTAAGTACTCGGTAGGAATTGAACGCGGTTTGCGGAAAGCAGGAGGCACTTTTTACGGATTTCTTTCTTCTTCTCGCCCAAGTACGTTAGAAACGGGTCAAAATCAATTTTAGCCCTTATTTAAAGGAATGTCAAATCGAGGCAGCTGATAAATCCATTTATTTCGAAGCGATTAACTCCGACAACTACGAGTAGTGACGTGTCAGGTAATGTGCGTCAAAAGAAAATTGTAAATAATTCTTACGGTTCAGTTATTTCAGAAATTTTATATGAAAATGATTAATCTGCGTGTCGGAAGTCTAATTGTTATGGCGAGCTTTACGGACTTTACCAAGAGATGATTCGTCCCTTTTTTAAAGCACATCGACTACGTTACTTAACTACTTGCGTCGCGAATCTGATTATTTCTTTAATTCTATCCGGCACAAAAGAGGGTTTTTTTTCCCGTGGGAGAAACTTCCGTTTCCCAGGAATTTCACGTCGCACGAATTTACACGTCGTTAATATATTGACGATTATTTTATTCCTACTGTCGGTACGTAGATTACAGCTGTACTGCGCCAATATTACTCTAACGTCGTTGTCGTGACGTTAGTTATTTTTAAGATCAATTAAATAGGTCGATTATCGTTGTAATAAGTCGTAAGTGACATTCTCCCCGTCGCGGGGGACGATAAAAGTTTAAAGAAAAGGGCTTACCCCTAGAGGACCGAGTAAGGGATTAAAGTATTAAGTAAGAAAGCATAATGATAACTCTTAACGAAAGAGAGCGAGATATATGTATATCTAGGAATTATGAATTATGGTAACGTTGTAAGTCGCTTATAGATTTAATGTATTTTTTGTAGGGACCATATTGTAAGGAGAGTGTAATGAAACTATCACCGGCTTTGGAAATTGACGTGGACTGGTGGTACTCGTTGCTCGATTACAGAGTGTATGCGTGTTTTAAATCAAATCATTTTGCACGGTCAATTGAAATGGCAAAAAAGGTCAATTTAAATACTTTCCGTTTATTGTGCCAACGACGGCGTTTTTGTATTCACCAGCATCGAGCACAGAACGAATAATTCTTGCCAAGTACTTTCTTACGTAAGCCCGTATCGATGAAGGAAAATTATTTTCAATAAAAAGTCTACTTGATTTACCCGGGAAAAAAAATCGAGTTCTTGCATACACTCTGGATGACAATAGGAAGGCAATATTCTCTTCGTTAGACAAAAGGAAAGGAAGGAGCAGAAACGTTCTCGAAATCCTTACTCGAAGGAAGTTCACGGGTATCTATTATTTTCTCTTTATCTTAATTCCGTTAATACCGATTATAATACGTATGTTTTAACATAGCCGAGCTAAGGTAAAAGTAACCTCGACGGTCGGCCAAGAGCTGGGATTTGTAAATAAATTTTAGAGAGGTCTAGGAGCGTCACGGAGCGCTTTTAATCTACGGAGCGCTTCGCGTAATACAACTTAAAGTATGCCTTAAAAAAAAAGATTACGATATTAAGGGAAATGTACCGCGAGGCGATTTAAGGCAACGTTGCGATTAATCGGAGTGCGAGAGCGAATGAGCTCTGAAAAAGTGAGAGGAAACGAGAAAAATAACCCTTGCGCGACGAGTAGATTGTGCGTTAATAACTAATACGTGGCAATAGAGGAAAATGGAAAACGTCTAAGCAGGGAAGTCGTGGAAGGCGGGGGAAAATCGAGCGATGCGTGGAAACTAGGTACAAGAAAAATGAAATCCAGTGGTGATCAAGTAGCGACAAAATGAAAAGCAGTTAATTACGATGTTATATCGACGCGAGCAGACGTCACGTTATACGATATAAATATATTAAAGAGTTACGGCGAGCGTTTTCATATTTATAAAATTCCCGTTTTCGCGGCGGCGAGAGGCGGCGGGCCAACGTTTTCGTTCCGCATCTGCATATCACACGACAAATGAGTTCGGAGTATGTTCCGTTCTCTCACCGATTTCCGGATTCGTCGCATTTTAGGACGAACTAGGTCGGCTATCGCTAACACCTAAGGAGCGTCCTGCTTTCTACTCGGATACCCTAGGAACGTATTTTTCTTTTTCTTTCCTTTCATACGCGAGGCACAAATGAATGTATTTACGGTTAATAAATGTTTCGGAAATCGTTCGAAGCGACTTCGTAAACTGCCCCCGTGGTCCCCTTGTGTTCCTCGAATTTTCTGGAATGAATGCAGCGAATCTGCGTGAGTGCGATCGCTCCTAAATAAACATCGTTTATGAAATCAATTTCATGCACTGGTATGTAATAACATTTGCGAATAAAATAAATAAGGTAAGTGAAGGGTAAAGTCAAAGAGGGCGCCACGAGTGTTTTTCCCTTACCATCAAAAGCGAGCAGTGTCGGTAAGCGTAGGCAAGCCACCACCGTCAACTGCCGCATGGTATTACCATCACGAGGACGTGAGCTGCCAATGGCGACTAGTAAATGGCATCGCTATCGGGAATGCGCGAGCTCCTACCAGAAATTCGTTGCGCCGCCATTGGGGGCAAAAAACGGTGAAAGCTAACGTACGAAACCAGGAGGCAGCACAGGATGCGATCGCGCGAGCCTGCCCATGAGCAAGCTCCCAACTCATCTCTGCGTATTGTGTACCGCGGAACGGGGCGTAGTGGGTGGGGAGAGTTTGAATTGCGCGCGCACCGCGCCCGTCGACCAATAGGGCGGCGCTGCCTTCGCGGCCGAGCGGAGTGCCTCCGCCATGTTCGCCAGTTGTCCACAGGCAGCGGTAGTGTGTGGGTGTACGCGGCTCGGTCGGTGTTTCCTCGTCGCTTCGGAGCTCCGTTTTTAACAACGAACGCCCCACCGTTCCTTCCATATTCAATGTGTATGGCGATTCCGGTAAGTTTCTATTATTTACGCGGTTTTCGGCATGCTTGCCGTCCCGCTCTGTCACCGTGACTCCCCGTACCGAAATTAGGCGTACTCTCGAGAGCCAGGGATCGACTGGACGAGCCAATCGCGTGCCTTCTATGGCAGGCCTTCGCGTATCGGGCCGATCGACTGGCCGAGGCGTCTCCGTCTTGCTCGCTCCGTCTCCATCGGCATCTCTCCCTCTCTCTCTTTCTCCCGATACCCAGCGCCTCCCTCGAACGGCACATCCCGTCTCACCCGCGATAACCATTTCTCCCGTTTTCTTTCACTTACTTCCACCTCGCTCGCATTGTTAGGTTAGGTCTTCCTATCTCCCCGTTCCCTCGATTTCCGCACCGTAGATTTTTATTTCATACGCGCGTTTCCGCGAGATCTTCCTCCATTTTCCCTGTATTTCAATGCTTCGCATCTCGCCTTCTCATTCTAGGCTCGTCGCGTCTTTCATCTTCCTTTTCTGGCCTTCTCTCCATCCGTTCGTCTCTTTCCACCCCACGCGGGTCGCTCCTACTCCGTTTCTCTCTCTTTCCCGTTTCACCTCGTTCCGATGTAAACGTCCGCGTTCCCGAGCGCCGCTCCATGGGAATGCACTCTCCCGTTGGTCCTTTCCCTTGGACCGCGATCGCCGCCCACCTCGTGACCGCCGGACTGTCCATTGTCCCCGGCCAACCTGCGCAACGAAGTTAGCCGCGTTTCCTGCGGCCAATCGACTCGATCGGCCAATCATGGAGCCTCTATCGGGTAGAGAGAGAAAGAAAAAAAAATTCCGTTCATTGAGGAAAATCGTTTCACTGCGTTCGCTTAATTTCGGATTACGGTTTGCCCGACGCAACGTAATTCCACTTGATCAGGCTCGTTTTCTTCGGTCAATTAAATCAACTCAACCGTTTCGGTTGTAAATCATGGTCATTTTAGAATATATTTCGGCCGGTAAACTGTGAACCCTCTCTGTTAAATCCAAGTCACCAAGATTTATTGTTACATACCACAATATGTCATAATTTTCTTATCAGTCTAATGTTTTTTAATGTATACCCGTAATCATGAAAGTGGTCTCTTTCGAATATCTGAAGAAATGAATTTATCCCCGATTTTGTTGTTTTCGTTTAATGTTAAATTAGACATACATGAATTGAACTTTCAAAATTATTGGTAGATATATAACAGCCATGGTTCTAGGGTCGAACCGAGAGAAATTTATTACGTTCGACCAATTTTTTGTGCCCGAAGAATGTCCGCAGGGAAAAGTGCGGTCGACTTGCCTTCTCGTTCGCGGCTCGCGTCGAGATCGCTTCCTACTCCTATTTTTATTCCTCGCTTAAGCTCGTCCGCCCCCGATTCGCGGATGTCTCCTCGATGACATTTGACCCATCGCGTGATAAGACCTCCGGCGCCGAGGCGCCTCCTCCGCGTGATATACCCTCCGGCGATCCGAAACGAGCACTTGCAATTCTCGTAGGCTAATTAAACTAGGGGTAATAAAAAAAGGACATTTTTGCCGTCAAGACATACCCGATAAATCATATCCTAGTCGACGCCGAATTCGCGGTTTAGATGGGATGAAAGTGGCCAATGGTTTGAAACTTTTCCACGTGAATGTGGAGACTTAGATCTTGACACCCCTGAAGACACTCTTTTTTTTTTGTAAGAATGTTTATAAACAAATTGGAAAATAAAGGAATTTCAGGGGTGTCGGGATCTTTGTTAGGGCCTCCATATTCACGTGATAAAGTTTCAAACGATTCGGTGCGACCAGTTTGGAGATAAATGTTTTAAAAAACGAGAGTTCTTGGAATTGATACTTAGGAGCGTTTTAAGATTCTCCGCGGTTACTTGGCGCGGGACTCTACCGACTTTCCTAATAATCTCATCCGCGGTTAAAGGGCCCGGACTTAAGTCGAGGAAAACACGGGAAGGCGATAAATCACGGGCAATTAATGTATCCGTTACGACGCGGCAGATTGATGGGCCTTTATCCGGCCCGGAGGGGGAATTTCGTCGACCCGGCCGGCTACTCTTGCGCTGACCTTCGGAAGGGTCAACGACGCGCTTTTTCGGCATTAGGTGGCGCGCCGCGCGCGTGGAGTACAATGTACGAGGCAGTGGTGGAGAGAGAGGGGCGGACGCGGGGTGGCCGCGAGCGACGGAGACGGAGCGTGCGTCCCCCTCGCGGGGTTTTCCCCGGAGAAGTCGCGTGGCCGCTTCGTTACGTCGAGTGCGTTCGACGCTCCTCTCTCCCTTTCCCCCGCCTGCTGTCCCCGCCCGCATCCGGCGCGTGTCGCCTTCTCTCTCCCTCCGACGGTTCGCAGCGTCCGTCCCTCTCGCTCCCCCGGCGTGTCCTCCCACGGCGGTCGTCCCGCTCCTCTCGGGGTCCCCACGCCTGACTGACCGACGCTCGGCGCGATTTTCCCCTTGCTCTCGACACTACGCACTCGAAATTGAATCCGGCTGTACCGATGCAATCCTGGGGACACGATCGCCGATTTCGATACCTTACTTTCGTCCTAGACTTAAGGTGCATGATCGTCCCATACTATTTTGACTACGAGTGATAATAGAACTGGAAAAGAGAGAAAAAATAGCCGACTTTTTTTAAAGCTTTTTCTCGTCTGTTTTTCTTTTGCAATGACCGCAGGCTATGTAACGGAGACAGAGAGAGAAAAGGTAGCTCTTCTGGTCGTTCTTTTTTCCTTTTCGCTGAATTCACAAGAATGTCAAGGGAATGGTCCAGTTTGCGACCATTGCAGGTTCTGTGTCCTCGTGTTTTCCATGGCCATGATGGAAAACCATTCGAAAGTCTATGGTAAACCGTTAATTCCACTTGTCGATACATGGATTACCGATCTCAAGAGCCTACTCTTGTTACGATCGAAATTTTTGTACCCTACGCGCACTTTTAACATTTTGAATCTCCTACGCAAAGATGGCGCCCCCAGCGCGCGATTCAATTGGCCAGTGGGGTGAGTCACGTGACACGACCTGCGCGCGACTCGTGCGCCAACGAGGCACCTTCCTATTCGCGCAATCGTGGATCTCTGATATTCACAGTCTGAGAAACGCGACACCGGTCAGCCTGTTTGGTATTAACATTTAAATGTTCAGCGCCCGCACGCGCACGTGGCTTATCTCAAGGAAGAAGTAAGCGCCATATTTAACGTTTCGAAACGACTTCCTTATGCCGCAGTCCCACTGACCGCGTCGGACGTTACACAGGGTGCGGCACGTCCACGCGTGGATAAAGAAGCCAATCGGACTTGCCGCGCAAGTGATTTAGAGGGTTAACCTTCGTACCCCCTTTGCATCGATTTAAACCGATATAGTTGTACTTCTTTTATCCCTACTCCTTCATTATATTTTTAATTACTTAAATACTGATTGTGACAAAAAAATGCTTTACCGCCATATTGTATTGCAATGTCTATCTGAACCCAGTGGTTGTAGAATACATGCGAAAATATGTTGAAATTGAGTAAACAGGGGGTAAATATTCAGGAAGGCACGAAATTTATTCGCAATTCCGTTTAGCTCTGTATCGACGACGCGCCGCGCTTTGCGTGACACGCGACGCGCTCACTGGGACGCCGCGCGGCTTTGCCCGACAGAGAAGTCTCCAATTTCGGCGCGTGCCGATATATAGGTTAGGTCAAATTTTGCACCGCGTCGTCGCTCGAAATTATTACTTATTACGGCTCGGATTGCACTCGCGGAAGCGGAATCGCGTTTCGCGTCGTCGGTGTTTCCGGTTAGGGGGACACGGGCCGAGTTTCGTCCCGCGAATTTCGCCGCCATTGTTTCCCCCCCTCTTGCCCCTTTATCTCGCCCAAGGGGACGAGGGAAAGCGCGATTAATGTCGGCGGGGTTTTCGTTGCGCGATCGCGTGAAAATCGATCGTCTTTTCTCGGGTGTTTTGTAAACGGCCTCTTTGTCTTAGCCCGCTACGCCCATTGTGCACCTCGATATTAATGTTATACCATCTCTTTCCGCTCCACCGTATTTGCATAATCTCGTCAACGCGTTTCTCGGGCACGCCGCGGGTCCGAGGATCCTCGTTACCTTCGTGCGAGTTTTACGCATCTCGTTCTGAACGTCCTCACAAAAAAAAGAAAAAAAAAATCCATTTTCGCGGATTTCGCCATTGTCTTTTGGCCGTTGCAACAAATTCATTTGCTAATTTAGCAGGCATTTATTCTGAGGGAAGGTCTCAAATGGTTACATACCTACGATTCGAAATAATTGCAAACA